GACAGTATGGGAACTATGATCACAGAAGAAAGACAAGTAATTAACCAATTCAAGGAACATTTTGAAGACCTCCTGAACCGACCCTCAATAAGGCAGGGTTTAAATCCAAGCGAGGACTGCCTAACAGCAGAAATAGATATAGACGCTCCCAAATACGAAGAAATTGTTAATCTGATTAAGAAGCTTAAAAATAACAAAGCCTCAGGTGAAAACAGCATAGTAGCGGAATTACTTAAAAAAGGTGGTACGATGCTTGCGAGCAAAATTACAGAAGTTATTAAAACAATATGGAAAACTGAGACAATCCCGGAAGAATGGAAAACTGCAATTATATGCCCAATATTTAAAAAAGGCAACCCTACTAAAACTGAGAACTATAGAGGAATTTCGCTACTGGACACATGCTATAAAATTCTGACAACACTGATATTAGAAAGGTTAAACCCGTATGTTGAAGAAATAGTTGGGAATTACCAATGCGGGTTTAGGAGAGGAAAATCCACAACAGACCATGTTTTCACGCTAAGACAATTAATGTCAAAATACTACGAATTTGGAAAGGACCTGCATCTAGTCTTTGTGGATTACAAGCAGGCGTACGATAGTGTAGACAGAGAAGAGCTTTGGAAAGCATTGGTAATTTTAGGAATTCCCAAAAAGTATGTGAACCTAATAAAAGCATGTTACGAAAAATCACTATGCAGAGTGTGTTATATGCAAGGCATCTCAGATCCTTTTGAAGTCAAATCTGGCCTTAAACAAGGGGACGCGTTGTCACCTGCTCTATTTAACTTAGCCCTCGAAAAAATAATTAGAGACACAAACGATGACAGAAGAATGGAGATAAGCAATGAACAAGTTAGGTTAGCCTATGCAGATGACATTGTACTGATGGGTGAAACCAAGGAGGAAATCATCAACTCAACATCTAAACTCATAAATGCAAGTAAAGGAATAGGATTATATGTAAACGAGGGGAAAACTAAGTATATGGTCGTATCGAGAAGACCATCAAATATAGATTCCATAGTAGTAGATAGTTATAAATTTGAAAAAGTTGATAATTTTAAGTATTTAGGCGTAAACATCAACAACAAAAATGATATGCATATAGAAATAAATGAACGGATCACTAGTGGAAATAGATGTTACTTCAGTATTATCAAACTCTTGAGGTCTAAGCTGTTATCGAGAGGATCAAAGATACGACTATATCATAGCTACCTTCGACCTGTGATAACATACGCCTGTGAAACCTGGTCGTTAACTAAAGGTGATAGTAGAAGACTTATCACGTTCGAAAGGAAAGTGTTACGAACCATTTATGGACCAATTTTCAACCCAGAAACACAGACATACGAAAGAAGAAGCAACGAAAATATAAAGTCTCTCTATAATAAGCCAGATATACTCTACTTTATTAGGAAAAAACGACTAGAATGGTTCGGACATGTATGGAGGGCAGATGGACAATTAATTAAAAATGTACTTATCAATAAAATAAACAAAACGAGACCCCTAGGACGACCCAAAACCCGATGGATTGACGTAGTTGCCAAAGATATAAAAATGATAGACCAGGAAGCAACTTTAGAAACGGCATATCAGAGAGAGAGGTGGAGAGAAATTTTGATGGCACCGATGGTCCTGAATGGACCGCTAAGCTGAAAGAAAGAAAGAAAGAAAGATTAATATTTGAGATAAAACTAATGAGGATAGGTCTAAGAAAAGATAAGATTATGTAGGTTTTTATGAAACAGTGTGCGATAGTATTATGGGGAGATAATGTCTTTAGCTATTAGTGTGTTTAAGACTGAGGTAAGGAGGGAAATTAATGGATTAATTAAAGAGCTTAAATTGGATATGAGTTTTGAAAAGGTATTTGATATTTGCTCCGTGATTTTATTTTGGTTATTGGTGGCTTCTGCATGTGATTTGGTTTTGGTTCTGGGTTGAGACTGTTGAGAGTGAGGGTCAGGATCTTTGACTGGTTGAAACTTTTGAGCAGATTTTTTAAAAATTAACTGAAATGCTGGACATCCTTTGAAGTTTGCGGTGTGGTCTTTAGCGCATAGTGCGCATTTGGCTGGACTATTTCGGTCCTTGGTGCACTCGATTGTCAGGTGGTTTTCACCACATTTGACACATCGAGCTTTATGGCTGCAATAGTTCTTTGTATGTCCGTAGTCCTGGCAATTGTGACATTGCGGTGGGCCACGTCTTTTTTTGATTGGTTTTTCGATTTTCACTATTGTGTTGAGAAGATATGTGATATCATGGATATCATTGTTATTATCTTGCTGACGGATATCCACAAAGAATACTGGGAGTGGGCAGTTGTTCCTGTTTTTGGCATCGTTTATATTTAAAAATACAGGAACAATATTTTTTCCAGGCACGGACAGGTTCCGGACGGATTCCGTTTCGTCGTAGTGTGAATAGACCTTTAACCTATAAGATAAAAACCTATAATAAATTCCTTACCTGGTTGTGATGAAACCAGCAACCCACAACTCTTGTATTTTCAGTACCCAGAGATAATAATGTATCTCTTAATGCAATCTCATAATCAGTTATAATTGTTTCCGGTACAAGTTGTGGAAACAAATTAGTCTTCATAAAACTAATAACACATTGATATGAATTTCTGGATTTGGCTTCCATTAAAGCATATGCTATTGGAATAGACTAAAAAACATAAATGTAATAGCTTAATAACATAACAATTTTTAAAGTAAATAATATTATTAAATTAAAGAAAATAACTTACGAAATGTCCAATGGATGCTAAGAAGCTGATTACCCACGTTCACCGGTACAACTTTAAAGGTAGCATCAGCATGGACCTCTATTATATTATTTTCCAATATTATTTGTATGAGCTGCCGGCAGGCTAATATTAAGTTTTGTTTTCCTAGTCATAAATTAATAATAAATATTATTTTAATTAAAGAATTCAAATTCACATTTTATTTATAGGTTAATAGAATAAAAGTTTGTATGTCCCAGCAATTCTCCAACACTAAACCAATTTAACTAATTTTTGTTGGATTTTTTATGGGTCATTTTAAGTACCTAACTCATTTGACATATTATTAGAGTTCACAAAAAAGTTAATATTTTATATAGGTATTTACACATTTAAAATTTAAAATGTATAAAAAGTATATAGTACTGATATTTTGATATAGATGTACTAATAAAACATTTTTAATTTAATATAGACATAATTACCATCACTATCGGTGACACAGCCCTGAAAAATATCTGAATTGCAGCACTGAAACCTGTGTAGTTCACCATTTTCAAATTTGTTAGCCAACTCTTGCAGTGACTGTGGAAGACTTGGTAACGAATTCCTTCTAAAGGTACGCATGGCACTGTCAGCAGTTGGCCATGGATAAAATGCAGCAGCAATAAGGTGTCTGTAACAGCACAAAATTATGATTGGATAAAATTTATGGGACACAATAGGCACCGATAATGGTAACTTAATGGCTAAATACCTTAGGCTGTTACATTCATATTTATTTTGATTACCTACCTTTCAGATTCATCATCGTATATTGATTTTAAAGAAATATTTTCGTTCATAGCTCGTTCCTTCAATTTATTTCTGAATATTTTTACCAAGTTCTGATTATCATTATTGGATCTTCCATGGGTAGTATGTGCTTTTAATTCCACAATTGAACCATCCACATTCTTCTTTGCTGTGCCGGGGCAAAAGAAATTGTTGGATTTGGCACATTTATAATAACTGCAAATACCAAATAATTTGATTAGACAAAATATATTAAATACAATAAACTTAATAGGTAGGTAACACAGTGATTTCCACACTGATTTTTGAAATCAGTCTGAATTCATTCGTTACAAACAAACAAATCTTTCCTCTTTATAATATTAAGTATAGAATAATACATAACATAGGTACTATATTATTATACATATAATTTAGTACTATACCTATTATTTTTCCACTACAAATTCAATTTTACTCTGGATCTCACAACGACACATATTATTCACATTTTATGTTGGATCTCACAACGATACATATTATTCACATTTTATTTCGGATCTCACAACGATACAAATTTTTCCACTACAAATTCAATTTTACTCTGGATCTCGCAACGATACAACTGTCATATTATTCACTTTTAATCCGGATCTCACAACGATACATATTATTCAATAGGCATTTCAATTTTACGTCGGATCTCACAACGATTCATATTAGTCAATATTTCAATTTTATGTCGGATCTCACAACGATACAATTTTTTCCACTACAAATTCAATTTTACTCTGGATCTCACAACGATACAACTGTCATATTATTCACTTTTAATCCAGATCTCACAACGATACATATTATTCAATAGGCATTTCAATTTTACGTCGGATCTCGCAACGATTCATATTACTCAATATTTCAATTTTATGTCGGATCTCACAACGATACATAATATTCACTTTATTTCGGATCTCACAACGATACAAACTTTTCCACTACAAATTTAATTTTACTCTGGATCTCACAACGATACATATTATTCACATTTTATGTTGGATCTCACAACGATACATATTATTCAATAGGTATTTCAATTTTACGTCTGATCTCGCAACGATTCATATTACTCAATATTTCAATTTTATGTCGGATCTCGCAATGATACATATTATTCTACTACATATTATTCAATTTTACTTAAAATCTCACAACATATTTTGCCATAGTCCATAATAATTCAAACATTATGAAATTTTATAGGCTGGAATACTGCAGATATATTATTACTACAGTTTATTAATTAATCTTTATTCAAAATTTTACCTATTAGTCAATATATTTTTAGTTAGACCACTTAATTAATAAATTATATTTATATTGATACTTAGGGTAACATTTTTATATAGATAATATATATTTTGTAGATTCTTCGTTGAAAACCTACGCCAATTTAACATCCGTTCCGGTACCTGGAAATATGACGTCTGACGTATCAGTTGAAGAAGATTCTGATTCATCTTATAGGCCTTATAAAAATAATTATAAATCAAGTGAATCCCAATCTTCTGATAAAACGTATAATTATATACTACCAGAGTCACCAGCTGAACTTAAATCGGATCAATCAATTGTCAACGATGAATCTTTATCCGAACATGAACAACCATGTAGTCAAATTAAAGCTACAATGTCTTCACAGCAAGGTGAAAAGAAAGTAATTAAGAAGAAAAACTATAATATCTTAGCAACTGTAGAAGTTTCAAAAAAATCTGGACTTCCTGGTAAACGGTTGTGGGACAAAAAAGATTTGTGTATTTTCTGTGAGGAGCAAGTGACAAACTTAACACGTCATATGCAAAGAAAACATAGAGAGGAAATCGAAGTAATACAATTTTTATCTCTTAAAAAAGGATCAAATGAAAGAAAAAAGTTGATCGACCAATTGCGCAAACGTGGTAATTTTTTCAATAATATCAGTGATATGCCAAAGATGAAACCCGTCCGTAGACCAAATAAATTTGATGAACAGCCCCAAGCTACTGATTATTTACCATGCCCGTTTTGTTACGGTCTATACAAGAAGAAATATTTGCGTCGACATACCACAGTTTGTTCTTTAAAAAAAAAAACAGCGCAGAAGGAAAGTTCAAGCTGAAGCACAATCGCTTCTTGTAGCATTCGAAAGCGAAGACACAAAATTAGTCGAGCAAGTTTTCCCAAGAATGGCACCAGATAACATTTCGTTAATTGTTAAAAATTATCCATTGATACGAGCATTCGGCACACGATACCTAAAGTGCCATAAAGAAAACACTAATTACAGTAGTTCAATAAGATGCGAGAACCTGGACGATTTTTGATAGCAATGCGGCAAAATTGTGAAAAATCACTAATGTTACAAGATTGTCTAACACCAAATTTGTTCGACAATATAATTAAGAGTACGAAGCAAATAGCCGGGTACGATTCAAAGACTGATTTATTTGGAGCTCCGTCGTTGGTTTTACAAATAGGTACTTCACTTAAACAATGTTGCGATATCGCTGAGTATATGATTTTAAAAAAATCACCCTTGTTACGCCCCGTGGAAGACACAGATATTTCCAATATTAAAACCGTGGAAAATTTAATTCAAAAACAGTGGTCGTATGAACTCGCAACAAACGCTTCAAAAGAGTTATACCAAAAAAAGTGGAATAAACCCGCATTATTACCTCTTACATCAGATATTAAAATTTTTCGGGATCATTTGGTATTAGAACAAAAAAATGCTATAAAAAAATTAAAAATAAATCCTATTGATATTGCGGCATTTAAATCTCTACAAGAAACAATACTTACACCATTAATACTATTAAATCGTAAAAGAGCTGGCGAAGTTCAACGAATAATTTTGACAACCTATTTAAATTCTCCCATTGAAGCTCCACAAGAAGAAATCGCCTCATCTTTATCAAAGATGGAAAATGAACTGACGAAAAAATTTAAACGTATCGTTATACGGGGAAAAAGAGGAAGGGGAGTACCCATATTATTCACACCCAAACTACAGAAGGCATTATCAGTGTTGATTTCAATTCGAAAGACGGTGTGTAATAAAAATAACGAGTACCTTTTTGCCATTCCGAACACTGATAATAGTTGTTTACGAGCCTCAGAAACCGTTCGAAAGTTGGCACTTGCTAGTGGTGCAAAAAATCCATCGGCGATAACACAATCGACAAAACTCAGAAAGCAAGTCGCCACAGTTGCTGAGCTACTCAATTTCACGGAAGGAGACGTAGAACAATTGGCGAATTTCATGGGGCATTCCAAAGACGTACATAAGACATTTTATCGGCTGCCAGAAAATGTTTTTCAAGTGGCGAAAGTGAGTAAGTTTCTTCTCATGATGGAGAAAGGAGATGCGGAACATTATAGAGGAAAAAATCTAGATGACATTAACGTTGACGGATTAGTGTCTGATGAAAGTGAGGGCGAATATAGTGATATAAGCTGCTCAGATGAACCAGATATCCAACAACTTCCTGGGACTAAAGAAATACAAATTCAAGAAAACATGTATAACTTTACCGAAACAGCACCAGAACATGAACAATCTACAGTTAAAAAATTAAAGTTAACTAAATTTAAAAAAACAAAAGATATTACAGCAATGGAAAAACCTGTTGTCCTCCAAAAACGCCTCCCCAAAGTCGGAAAAAAATCAAAATTTATACGCATGACGTGGACTGAGGAACAAAAAGCCACTACAAAGAAGTACTTTCAAAAACACATTTTATTGAAAAAACCGCCTAAAAAAGAAGAGTGTGATGATTTCCTCGTTAAGAACCAAAATATGCTTATGTCAGGTAATAAACTATTTAAAACTTTGTTCAAGTAATGATACTAATAATTCCGTTTATTTATTGTTCTAGGTTTTCCGTGGCGGAAAGTGAAAACATTTGTATATAACCTTTACAAAGATTTGTAATATTTATGTATTTATAATATATTGCTTTTATTAATTATTTTAAAGAAAAAAAAGATTATGAAAAGTGAATTTTTATGTTACTTATTTATGTTTAAAGCTGTTTTTTTACTGAATATATCGTTAATACAACCATATACATTATTCAATTGTTAAATAATAATAATAATAATAAAAAATAAATAAATAAAAATGTGTCCCTTGTCAAAGTGTCAGCTCTTAATTTAGGCGTATTGTAAAAATCTACTTTACGTAACTAAATATAGGATTATGTAAACAATTTAGCCAGCAGCTCACTTCTCATATCAAAAATCAATTACAATTTTTATTGAAAAAAACAGGGTTATAGGTTAATTTATTTATTCATTATTTATTTTAATTAATATCAATCAACTGATTTTATACATGTTTATGTATGCCTACCTACTATAAATTCAAAATTGCAATATTATGTAAGTAGGTAGGTACCTAATATCTTATTAGGTATTATTTTGAATATGAATATTTTAAAGGACCATGAAAGGAAAAAAAACAACTAATTCTTGAAAAAAATTCTTAATTAAAGAAAAACAGAAGTCCAAACTAAACTTGTCTACGGCTTTTGGTTAGCGAGTTATAGTCATTTAAAGTTAGAGCGTGACGTCATAGAATCTAATCTCGCTGCGCTGCAGTATGGCTCCACGTACGTACGCACGTCGAGCGTCGTACCTATTAATACAATTTCACACAATATTATTACATAATTATTATTATTTTGGGTTTGATATTTTTGTGTACAAAAATAATTACGTTCTACATAACGGGTTTTTGTCGTTTTCTTCTAGGACTGGATTAGTATTTATTATTTTAGTATTGTTCTGTGTTTCTTTGAGTGTACATACTTGAAAATAAATTACGATTGTGGTTGACTCATCAATATGACATCACCATATCAATTTGAACCAACGAAATCAGATTTCTGCGATGACTATGATTCTTTTAATACTAACCATAATGAATTTAGCCAATGCTTTGGTAGATCATTGCTTCAAATAAGTAATTGGTGTAATTGTCAAAAATGCACAATATTACCAACGGATCGCGAGTGTATTTGCTGTTCGGAAATAGACATTTTAAATAAATTACGTGGTATATATAAATGTGTGATAGAAAACCCATCGTTTTCGAAATTAATAATGGATGAAGAAGTTATTGACATTACTCGAAAACAAATCATTTCCAAAACAAAAAATAAGGGAAAAAAGAAGTTACTGTGCAATACTATCCTGGAAAATAAAACGAGAAGATATCTGTGCTACAAACAATTTGTTTTCTGGGCAAATGAATGGACACCTATAGGAAAAGGTAAATTAAATAATTTTTTTTCAAATTTAATAAAAGTATTTATTAGATTATTTACTTGATTTAGGAAATCGAGTTGTAATCCCAGCGTGTGTAATAAATGTAATTCGTACAAAGTATGCCGAAGAAAATGGACATTACACTGGTTTTAAAAACTCAAAAATACCATATTAAAAATAAATTAAAATTATGTACAATCTGTAATTATTTATATTTTATTTATGAAAAAGTATACACCTTGATACTCAAATAATATTTTATACAACTAAAAGATAACTAGCCTGATTACAATAAAGTACAATAAAGTTTGATAAAAATACTTATTTTATTTATTAGAAAATCTTGAATATTTTTTTTCACGCATTTCGACTAAATCTGGTTTCGGTAAAAGAACGATATTTTGTGGAACAGATACATTTTCAGAGATATTCATAGGTTCTAAGATATTTTCTTTTGACAATTCTTCAATCTTATTCATAATTTGTTTCCGCCAATCCATCTTTGATCGTTCGTAAGTATTTTTTATTGTGTATTTTCGAAGAGATTTCGAAAAAACCATTTTATCACCAATTATGTTTTTGCCTGTGTTATAATTATGATCTAGTATTGCTAAAATGGAACGTAAATACATACCATTATATTTTAAATGTATGCGCTTCGGCATATATTTTAGTCGTACATTGTGGTAAGATTCTAACCGACCCGTATGAACAAAATGTTTTGCCTGTTCCAAATCTTTTATAAAATCTTTCGCTGTTAAAATTTTTTTTAACGCAAAAAATGATTCACTCAGAGGGTTAATCCATAATTTTTCATTTGATTCTTTTTCTGATATTGACTCATGTTCACATCGTTTTATTTCTCCACTCGTTTCCCATTCGTGTTCATTACTAATATGATGTAAAACTGATAAAAATTTTTCAACCAATATTTTACCATTTCCTTGGCAAGTTTGCGCCGACCACCATAAATGGTTGTTAATACTAGATTTCCATAGAAAAACATCTGGATGTTTCTTTTCTAATGTTTTTAATCTCTTCATTAAACTTTTTGTTAAGTGCCATATATCAAACTCATGTTCAATCTCAGGGTGCTGTGTTCGTAAATAATACCGTATACCTTTATGCCTATCGGATAAAAATAATTTTATTTTCATATTTTCTTCTTTAGTTAAATTTTCTAATAATAATTCACACGCTTTTCTTTCGAGATCACCTTGAAACATACCTTTTTGTACGAGCTTAAAATCAATTATTTTACTGGTGTGTAGATCCATAATTGAATATGTACAATATTTTGCGCAAAATCCAGGCGAATCAAACTGTCCATCACCCGATAACCAAATTTCAGAATTTTTTAGTATTTCTAAGTTTTTTTTTCGATGGTCATCCCAAACTTCGCAAATAACCCGGCCCGTATAATATTTTATTATATTTACGCGTACCATATATGATAGACACATAAATCGTTATTTTACACCTGTAGTTAATTTTGCCTGGTACAAAAAACAAAACGAAATATTAGAAAAAATACGCAATTCTAGTGATGCGACTTGGCTAGCCGGCGACGGACAATTTGATTCACCCGGATTTTGCGCTAAATTTGTTACATACTCGATCATGGACCTAAATTCGGGGAAAATTATTGATTTTTCCATTATTCAGAAAGGTGATTTAGAAAAGTCTGCATGCAATTATGTTTTAAACGACTTAATTGAAAATAAGAAAATAAATATCCGTCTGTTTCTTTCTGATAGACATGTTGGCATAAAGTCCATGATGAAAAAAGAATTTCCCAACATATTACATGAGTTTGATGTTTGGCATTTGTCAAAAAGTCTCATAAAGAAATTTAAAACTGTTGATGTAAACAAATATCCAGAAGTAATCGAGTGGAAAAAAAGTATAATCAATCATATGTGGTACTCAGCACAAGCCTGTAATGGTGATAGTAAGGTATTGATCACCAAATTTAATTCAATTTTACATCATATTAAAAATGACCACCAATGGCGAACGGAAGAAGGAACCATCATGACTTGTGAACACGAGGAAATACCGGAAGGAGTACTGAGAAAAAAAAATGGATTCATTCACAATCAGAATCGTATAATGTTTTAAAAAAAATATTATTAGATAAAAGATTTTTGAACGACTTGCAGCATGCTAGTAACTATGTACATACTGGACAATTAGAGTCATATCATAATTTGGGATTAAAGTATATACTAAAACGAATACATTTCCCATACAACGGTATGGTACTGAGATCAAAATTAGCCATTATGGACCACAACGCTAACATCAATAAAGAACTAATTGGCGATAAGGCACAGTTTTCAAAAGCAACGGGAAGTTGGGTCTTGAAAAATAAATACTCCAAATCTACTAATATCTGGAAATACGATATAATGGAAAAAGTAGAAAAATAATAAAAATACCAACGATATTAATTCAATTCCAAAACTAGCTCATGAAGTTGTAGTGCCAGATCGTATAGCACAAATTCCAAAACCCGCAATAGAAGAATTGAAAAAAAATAAGTTATAAATAGTTTTCTTGATTTTCACAAGTACCTACCTAAAATTAAAAATAACGTTTTAAATAATTGCTAAAATTAATTTATCTATAAATACTTTTTTATTTTATTCAATACCTTTACCAAACTACATAAACAGTAAAATCTAGTAAGTAAATTAATATTATATTCTTTTTTCTTAATCAGGATTTTTTTCACTTGGACTGAATCCTGCATAAACGCCGTTTTTTTCCGAAGTTCCACTTCGATTTTCGTAATTCACATATTGTATACCATGATACTCCAAAACAGTATCAATTTCATCGTCATTTTCATATTCAGGCTCAAATAAATAAGCACTAGTCATGGTGAGAATTTTAATTTAGAAAATATTACACTAGTGAATAGTCAATACGTTGCCAACTGTCGAACACAGACTGAACGCTGGTAATCACACGACATACATTCAACCAAAATTTAAAAATATAATGTTTATAATAAATAAATGTGTGTGTAGTGTGTAAAATACGTAGAATTAGACAAGATAGCGCCGCGCGACGGTCTAGGTTAGACCGTAGTCCGAACGCCGCGCGCTGCACACCATGACGTGCCGTTTAACCAAAATGACTGTTTTAAGATTTTTAATACTTAAAAAACTAAACGTCATATTGAAATTCTGATTCTTGCATCGTCTTAAACACATAAAACCACACATTTATACTTCAATTAAATTTTAAAAAGAAAATGTTTAGGTTGATAAATCGTATGATAAAAAAGGAACTTTTACACGTATAAGATAGGCAATTACGATGACTCCGGCCCAGTGACGTCACGCGGCTATTCTACATCTCTTAATATCTCTTAAAGTAATATTTTTTTTTACATCGTATCTTCACAAAATCATTTCATATAACCATAACTACAATAATTTAACATTTAAAAAAAATTTAAAGAATTTTTTTATTTGTGTTGTGTGCTCCTTTAATTTCATCAACAGAAGATTGCAATATATTACATTATGATCCGAATAGTAAACAGTAATAATAATTAATATATCATAATATAAAATGAATATTCTAAAATTATGTCATTTTTTTAAATTGTATCATTTAAAATTGTAAAACTCTAAAACGTTACTCTTATTTTTGCTTTTACTATGATGATGTTGATCTATACTGTACAGAAGGTTACAAGTTTAGAATTTTATTAAATTTTCAATTTATGGATGAATAACCAATGTATAACTACAAACAATCGTAAAAATTTAATTTGACTTTCCTGTAGTCGCTTTTCATGTTAAATGTAGGAAAACTTAAAAGGAATTTAGTATTATATTTACAGAGCTTAGATATGAACAGAAAAATGTTTATAACTTTATTCAGAAGATTATTCGACGAATAGTTATCTAACGAATAACTGGGTGATTGAAAACCGGGCTTTACACGGCTCTAGCTATAAAAGTTATTTAAATAATATACCTGAAAAGCATGGTAAAAGTTAAAAATTCGCATTATATTTTTTTTCATATTTTGAATAATTCACCATTTTACAGATCGATATATTATTTACAATGCAACACAATAACACACTGTATAATACATGTAACACAATTTATAATAAATGTAACACAATGTGTAATAAATGTATCACAATGTAATAAAAAGGACTTTTGGCAGATAACCAAAATGTACTTTTGTCCTTTGAAATGTAAATATCATTGGCAATTAAAATATTAATAATACATACTACATTATTAAATACATATAATTTAAAATACCATTAAAGATAATTTTACATTAATCTGTAATTCAACTAATACAAAAAACCAAACAAATTATAACATTTGGGACCTATGATTATTTACAAAAAAATAATTATAATATAATTTAAATTTATGCTGGAAATGTTGGTATATTATCATATTATGCATATAACCTTGTATTTTAAACTGTGATTTATATCAATTATATTAATAAGATGTTAATAAAATTCATTATCAGATATTCAGGGTAACCACAGTTACCACGATATATATACATAAACTAGATAGCCAGTTTCTTATCACCGCTTGCTCCACCTGCCCTACGGATTAAGTTATAAGTATATAATTTGTTGAATAATCTTGTTACATATAAGTAGGTATATAACTTATATCTTAGTCCGTGGCCTGCCCACCACTTAAAGGTTATCTTTAATTATCAATAATATTTGACTGTGATAATTATTTATTTTACTATCACCACGGATATAGATACTAGTATCTATGTCCATGCTATTGTCCAAATCGTCTGGATATTATTAATAAAGTAGCCCAATCATATTTTTCGTCACCAGCAGGCAAAGGCATCGAATCTGATAATTGAAAAATATGGTTCGATTGACAAAATTCGATCAGAAATTTTCGATCAATCGTATTATTAAATAACTGTCGAATACAATAAATGACTTTCAACACTGTTTTCGACTGTCGAATAAAATCATACTTTTCCATGACATTTGTAATTGTTATCATTCATTTTAAAGATAACAAAAGTTAATTAATATTATTTAATAATACCAATTAACAAATACCATCTAAACCTATAGTACTTTATAATACTTATACTTAGTTTCAAATTATAATAACACTATGACCCTAAAGAAAAGCAAAGGGAGGTCTGTAATTAATCTGTAATTAATTATTAACACTGTGTGTTCTGCACAACATGTGTTCTTACATATTTGACTATAACACTCTACCATTATTTTATTTTTTTGTGTAGGTACTGTATTAATTTCACTTAAACAAAATTATTTTATAAAGATTAATATTAATAAAACATGGTATTTTATTACTAAAAATCACATTATTTTTTTTTTACGTATTTTTAAAATAAATACAATTTATTATCCTGGTAATGAAGTATAGAAGTCACTGTATTGTTGAGGCATATACTTGCACATGTCTAAAAGATCTTTTTTCTTTTCTTTTGTTAAGGCCACTGGGGATTCGTAGACTAGTGGTAAATCTTTAATAGATAAAGTATTATCTTTAAAGTCGTTTTTACGTATTTGATGGAATGTCCATGGTCTCAGTGTATTGTGACTTTCACGAATATTTACATGATTAGGAGCATCAGCTGTCAATTTCAACCACATTGCTTGTGTTATTTTTAGATTTTTTATTGTAATATCTTGCTCTATTGCAGAAAAATCTTTAAAATCATTTTGAGACATTTCTATAATACGAAATGGTTTTTCTAATATTGAATTAGCTATAACATATTTCCATTGTGACGGTACAAGAACTTTTTTTTTGTTTTTTTTTTTCAATTAAAGCGAAATCGCGGTCACATGGTAAAAAACTATGGCCAGTCGAAAGGAATTTTTGATTAATTTCCGTAAAAAAGTTACTGTCGAATACAATAAATTACTTTCGCCACTCTTTTACGAGCCTACAAATAAAAAATAAAGAAAAAAAAGTAATAGTCACTAAAATTCTAAATGATTTATCTACTGAAATAGATATTGGAAAATTTCAAAACAAATTACACACTTATCTGTCAAACAACGATGACGATCTTCAATTTTTTTTAGATTATTTTTTCAAATATTATGGCCAAAATCAACAGTTCTGGGCATACTGTTACAGGCAGAATTCCGGTTGTAACACACATATGAACTTAGAAAGCTTCCATAGAGTTTTAAAAGAAAAATATATGTGTAGATTAAAAGTCAGAAGCGTATACGATTGTTCATGGTACTTGGAGAAATATTTATTAATGAAAGGAAATGATTTACAAAAAAAACAAATACGTTTTAAACGCACCAATAAATTAAAATGTCTTCGCGCAAATCATAAGAAAGTGGAAAAACAAAGTGAATTAAAAAGTATGGTTATCAATTCATTAGACTATAACTCTTGGTATGTTCAATCATTCATTGATGAAGAAGTTATGTACAATGTACTTAAAAGAGAATTAAAAGAATGTACAATATATGAAGGTGAGATCAGTTTACTTCCTTGCACACGTGTAATTGCCAGGACCATTCAATTAAAAATAATATGTGCAAGCATATTCACACCGTTGCAATGAACCTCCTCAGACAAAAAACCGACAGCAAATGTTGACAAACAACAAAAACAAAAAGCACTCACAGACGTAGTATACAGACAAAGATGACATATAAAGATGATGAACCGATGGAGACAACACATCAAGACGAGGAAAATCAATTACACCATGATGATGATGGTAATAAGAATTAATTAAAAAACGTTTATTTAATTTATATTTTCAAAATTTTTTTCAGATATTTTATTACACAAATTAAGACAGAATATATTACAAGAAATTGAGCAATCGTGACAGCAGATAACATCACGAGAACAACTACAACAGTTAAATAAAAAACTGGTTGCACCCATCCATGTTTCCATTGCTGCTTCAAAAATTGAAACTATGCCTTTGAAACCAAAAAATAAGTTGGAAAGGGTAAAATGGTAAAATGAAACCACAAAAGAGAATTTTTGACCTAGGTCTACATTGAATTTTAATTCCAATACATTAATTTGGTACTACTAATTTATTTTAGTATTACAGGTGCCAAAAAACAAGGCAAATAAAGAAAACTAAATTTTCTTAATTTTAGGATTTTTTAGCAATAGCATTAAAGATAAATTTAAATTATTAATTATTATGAATTATGTTCGGGTAATGAACTGTAAAAAAAAGTAACAAACAATATTGAATTAAAATTAATTATATTAATTTTATGTTGTATTATATTTTTGTAGGACGTATTAGATAAAGTTTAATAAATTATTATTTTTTTTTTTTTCGTAGGACATATTAGAATTATCATTCTTACATTTTTTGTTATAAGTATAATAGTTTAGATTTAGGATATAAAAATGTCAATACTCAATTTTATTATTTACTTGTATTAACAATAATGATTATAATATTTAAATTCACGCGGTTATTATTTAAATGTTATCTTATCACCGACGTAGGTATCGAATTAATGCATGAACAACAGTGGCTCCACAACAGTAATACTTGCCACCGAAACTATGGCATTTGTAGGCTCGTCACTCTTTTCGACTGTCGAATAAAATCATATTTTTTCCATCACATTTTTAATTGTTATCATTAATTTGAATGATAACAAAAGTTAATTAATATTATTTAATAATATTAACTACCAAATAATATCTAAACCTATAGTATTTTATAATACTTAATACGTATACGTACTTTGTTTAAATTTTGAAATTATAATAATTATAACACTATGAGTGTATGTCTAAACAAAAACTAAACAAGATGATATTATAATTTCTGAAACAAATAATTTAATAGTTTTAAATCATTTAGATGCCTTATCCAATGAATTTAAAAGAAGATTTCAGGATTTAAGAGCTGTAAAGAATTGTTTTTTACTTATAGAAAATTCTTGGCACTTAGAAGTAACGAGTATAACACAATTAGCTGCATTGATTGTATCCGATTATTCAAAAGTGTTTGATGAATTTATTGAATTAAAAAATATTACAAATTTCAAAGAGAAGAAAGAACAAAAATAATACATTGAATTTTGGAATTTAGTGCCAGAAAAATACAAAACCCTACAAAAATGTGCCTACCTTTTGATGACAATGTTATTTTTTTTTTTTTTTTTATGTTGTATATCAACGGGTATATACCCTTTTACAAATTATATAAAGGAAACATATTAGATAAAAACTAAAAACTAAGTAAGTGTAGTAACACCTAACAAATACAGATAAAAATAATATAAAATTAATTCTGAATTAAAAGTAATAAAAATATAAAATTATAATTACATTATAAACATTTTTTTTTTTTTTTTTATATTAATCAATCAATATTTTTTAATAATAACATAGATTTATATTTAAAACAATTGCGTGAGAGAAAAAATATATCTAAATGTATACAAATTTTATTAGCTAAAATTAAAGCTCGAGGGGAAAAAGAATTGGTACCACTATTCGTTTTATAATGAGGAACTAAAAATAAATCTGAACTACGTGTAATTAGATGTGGAATTCGAAAACTGATTTCAGACAACAATTCGGGACACATGATATTGTAATTAATAAGATCATAGACAAACATAATATCAGTTAATTTCCGTCTAAGTGAAAGAGAAACAAGGCCAATATAATCTTGAGTTAAATGGAGAGAGTCCCTAGATAATGGAATATTCGATAAGTATGAAATCCTTTTTAAAAATTTATATTGTACATTGTCTAAATCATTTATATATGTCAAGTATTTGCATGACCAGATTACGGAGCCGAAATCAAGATTGGATCTAACTAAAGATGTATACAAGGTTTTTAAGCATAACGGATTTTTGAAATCTTTAGTATTTCTATTAATAAAGCCTAACATCTTAAACGATTTATTAATTATCATTTTATGGTTCGTTTTAAAAGATAGATCACTTTCAAAATAAATACCAAGATCTTTGATTACATTTACTCTAGTGAGAGAAAACATTTCAATATTATAGTTAAACAAGATGGGATTTTTTTTACGTGTAAATGTTATCGTATGACATTTATCAATATTTAACGGTAATAAATTTAATTTACTCCATAATTGAAATTTATTAAGATTATACTGAAGAGATTCAGCATCACTTAAAGAATTTATTGTACAGAAAATCTTCGCATCATCCGCAAATAATAAAATGTTTATAGAACAATCAAGGACTAGTGGGAGATCATTAATAAAAATTAAAAATAGTAAAGGACCTAAATGGCTGCCCTGAGGAACACCTGATAAGACAGGATAATCATCAGAAACATAAGACATAATTTTAACTACTTGAGTACGATCAGAAAGATACGAAAATAACCATTGTAAAATGTTCCCACCTATACCAATATTTTTTAATTTATGATATAGTAAATTATGATTCACCTTATCAAACGCCTTTTGAAAGTCCGTATAAATAGTATCTACTTGGGAGCCTTGATCAAGAGCTTTTACAAGATAATTATGATATAATGTTATGTCGAGGTTGCTAATGTTCTTGGTAACCATTTTTACTTGAACAGTTCTGACCACAACTATATCATTTCTAAATAATAACCTTACCACTAGACACCATTTACTCCAATAAAACTTCAGCCCATTAAATCAGGATCAACACCACCTAAAAATCCACATAAGCGTAAAGGAGCTAATCTAGACCCTTTACAAATGTTCTAGCCTCTCCCCTGGCCCTGATGAAATCCCATACAGCTTCTTACACAGCATACCCTCATTAGCAAATCAGTTCATCCTCCACCTTTACAACAAAATATGGAATACCGGGAAAATCCCAAAATCTTGGAAACACGCCATTGTCATCCCTATTTTAAAACCAGGAAAGGACAAATTTAGTACAGAGGGATATAAACCAATATCTCTCCTAAGTAAAATGTGCAAAATACTTGAAAAGATTATTAATTCGCCACTGAGATGCTTCCTCGAAAAAAACATGCTATCTTTCTCCTCAACAAAATGGTTTTCGTTAACACAGGAGCACATTCAACAGTCTACATGATATTCAAAAAGAAATATCAAAATCCCTAGAAACCAACCAATCCTTGGGACTTGTGGCTCTCGGCATAGCAAAAGCAATGACACCACATGGTGCCTCCGGATAATTGAACAGTTACAAAAAATCTTATGTAACGGCAACCTACTTCTCTTTTTCAAACATTTCCTGGAAGACAGATCTTTTCAAGTCAAAATTAACCGTCATCTCTCTTCAACCTTCAATCAAGAAAATGGCGTACCCCAAGGTTTCATCCTCTCAGTCACCTTATTCTTTGAAGCCATTAACGACCTTAGTGAAAGAATCAAATTCCCTGTAAAATCTTCTCTCTTTGCAGACGACCTGAATATTTGATGTTCTGCAAAAAACTCATCCAACATACAACCATATCTACAAAACACAATACAAACTTAAAAATCAATTAAAATACAAGGAATCACATTTGACAACAAAAATACCTGGAACCCACACTTAAAAGATCTCCGAAAAGCAAACTCCAAAACCCTTAAATATACACATTACTCATCCTATTCAAGCTAGAATACTGTTAGGTTTTACTATCTAAAAAAAGAAAAAATTTAATAACAGCCAATAATCTATGTTTTTGTGGCTTAATAATAAATAAAAAAAAAAACATAACTAACTATCTAGCACCAAGAAAATCAGTGTCGAATCCAAAAATTGGAATAAACAATTGTATCATAGTCACTGTATCCGGTGCTACACTCGATAAAACAAATATATATATATAATGAATAAAATAAAACAAAATAAAATGAATATTTATTTTATACGCTATAATATAATATGGCTGTATACACGAGGTCATCTACCTGTTAATGTGTATTATCTTATATTCTTATACATTTAATCATTCATATTATTTACGCTAAACTATTTTAGAGACATTTATACAAGCACAGTGGTATAACGGAAGTTCCACTGAATACCGATAAACTACAAAATTAATAATCTCAATTAAAAATTCAATATTTAACTATCCCAAGATCTACAGAATATTATACTTTTTTCTAGTGGTTAAAATTTAAAAAAAAAAATAAAATATACTACTACATCTTCTCTTTAAGAAATAAGAATGCATACAATACCTGTAGGTACTCATTTCTTTCTATTAAAGTGGCGGTAAGTACCAAATTAGACATAGATTATATAGTTATATTATATAGTGAAGTACAATTTATTGAAAATCTAAATAATGGTCATAAGTCCGATTTAACTGATGCTGAAAAACATCCGATGCTGCTGTCTAAGGAGTCACATTTATCTGTGTTAATCGCACGTCACTAGCACCTAGTTACGTACCACTCAGGTCCCCGAGTTATCACGTCCTTAATCATCCGTCAATATTGGATCTTATCGATACGGTCGGTAATTCGAAAGGTGATCGGTCATTGTACCATTTGTGTCAGAACGATTGCCCAATCGCCACACCCCATGATGAGTAATCTCCCCATTTCACGAGTCCAAGCATGTTGACCATTTTCAAAAGTTGGTG